TTCCAAATGTTTTTAAAGCATATTTTTATTCTTCAAAAACAAAGTATTTTATACATTACAGTATTTTTAAACATCTCTGTTATTGTAGAAATTATGAATGTTTATGATTTTTTGTGTTATAATTTTTGAACGAATTTACTATATATCCTTTGCTTTTTGAATGAATTTGTTGGAAATTCTTTTATGATTATTTTTTTTTTTTGTTTCTTATTCAAATCTACATTTATGAGGATTCAATAATATTAAAATTTCCACTGTACCTTGAGCATGCTATTATTAAAAGAGTGACCTTCCTCTTACTAAACATTAAAATGTTAATCATAGAACTAATCGAATTGCAAATGAAGAATTCTGTTTATCAATAAAAGTTTATGTAAACAGAGCAATTTTGCATCATACAACAAATAATACATTCATTAAACAATGAATCACTAAAATACGAATAATTGTTTATGAAGATCAATAAGTATTTGAAACGAAAATTTCACCTTATACAATTATTTCAAAGTTCATTCATTTTTACGCATCATCTCCAATAACTATAATGAATGTGACATTTTTGTTTTAATATTCAATTTTTATTCTAAAGAGAATAGAAATTTGTATTCTTCGTTAAAATAGTTACTTCATTTTTATTTTATTCAAAATTGTTAAATTTTGTTGGTTAATATAAAACAGGTTTATAATTTGACAAATATTTTGACAATGTTGTATGTTCATATCAAATACTAATCAAATGCAATGTTACTTTGGTTTTTAATTGACACTAGTAATCATAACATTTATTATATTAAAATAACATTATATGAATATATGTATACCTATAATCTGAACGCTATTAACAAATATGCTATTACATATTCGTAATCTTTCAAAAATTTCTTGTTATTTATAAACAAATCCATTTAGCAAGTTGTTTTCTTACATTCTATTTTGATCACAAACCGATGTTATCTTTTATTACGCATTTACGTTATATTACGACATAATTATCCATTACAACATAAATTTCTACTGTAGCATATTCAATGAAGCTAACAAAGTACTAATATTGATATATAATATAAATATTTTCCACTACATTTCATGATACGATGTTCGCAAATAAAATACTACTAATTGAAACGATTTCAAAATTATCTTCAAATAATTCGCAACTCATTCAATGTAAATAAAAAGTTTCAAAATACATTTTTTTCAATTGATTTAAGAAGAATAATATGTATCTTTTCAATATAATTTTCATTATTCTGGTAACAATTAAATTAGAGAGAAAATGGAAAGGATTATAACCTTTTTATTTATCTCCAAGTCGTATTTTTTAATTTCTCTTTTAACCTTTTAATTTAGCTGTTTGTAGGGGGAAATGATTGCGTTTTAATGCTCTTATTCTGCCAATGAAGTGCGGACAAACATTATCAGACTACAGTATAATTATCAAATTAAAATAAAATATTTTCTCTGATTGTTTTTCTAATTGCAATTTTTCCAGAATCTTGAATACTTCCGTTGGTACCAGAATTCAACTCGTGAATTGGCAATAAAATAATAATGAACTTGAAGACAGTGAAACAAATAAAAAAAAAAATGCGAGTATGAAATCAGTACAACAATTCAACTATTACAAAAAGAAATTAATTTATCAAATATAGAATGAATAAATATACAGAGAAATATTATTAAGAAATAAATGTATTTTAATCTGTTTAAATAAGTTATTAAAATTTCAAACGTCTGCCTTTTCGTATGTTTGACTTGAATCAACATTTGAATCAAATAAAATTTTGATGTCAATCTACTTTCTAAGATTTAACTAAGCAAATTCGATGTCGCAAAAATGATTTTCTTAGATACTGTCACGACATTCTTTTGACTTTACAATATTGTTTAATTGTTTTTTACCAAAGGTGAATAGAAAGGAAAACACTTCGCTGACATAATATTTGAAGTTTTATATAATACGATAAAAAAAATATCTAAAAAGACTTGATAAAAGTGTTAGCTGGATTGGTTGGTGGGAAATGCAATATGTGTATACATTATATATAGACTTGTATATAACCTAAGAAAGGTGATCTACTTTCAAAACAGTGCTGTACAGTAGAACTGTAAAATCTGTTACTGCAATTTTTTATTGATAAAACATTCAAAGCATATAGTAAGTAAATCAAATCATCAAAAATATATTAAATAAATTGATAAAGGATTACAACAGACAGTGTTTATATTATAGTTAAACTGTGTTAAAAGAAAAGCCTCATAATATGAAGTTTGATTATTAATAACAGCTGTTAATAATGAATTAAGATATTTGAACATAATAACTATGATCAATTGGTATTATTTTCAAACAATCTTGGTATTTAAAGAAGTATTTAATTAATCCTCAAATAATTTCACTGGCAATTATTTTAAATTTATATTTTTACTTCATATTTGGAAACATTGACTAGGATAGTGTTGTACAAAATTTATTTATAAATGAATAATAAACTAATAACTATGAGTACAGTATCATTTTTTAAATAATTATTAATGTAATACAATCATACACTGATTGTTTAGTGTTTAATTGAACAATCAATTTTGAATTCTCATACAAATTAGCAGGTTTCAAATATTTTTAATTGGTACAAATCACTCAATTTTTAGTGGAATAAAACAACAATTACATTTAAAAAATAACGCACACCACATACAGGATGACAGATAGTGCGATTGATACAACTTTCCTTTGCGAAAATTTTTAGGTTAGATAATACGATTACATAAATTGTCGAATATGTAAACTTATTGAATTTATGAGAAACATAATTAATTTCTAATCGTCTTCTTTATTTTTTTATATATTCTTACATATTGTTATGTATATGATTTAAGAATCTGTTAATATGATTGCGAATTGGTCGAATTTAAATCGGCGCGGCTTTCAATTGGTTGAAAATCTGATAATTGCTCGAACGCAGCGTATAAAAGAACGTGTTATTCAAGGAAAAGTACCAGAAGTCTTGAAAGTTTCGCATTCGCATTTTTCAACTACTTGTTGCATACATAAGCACGTGAGTGATTTTATAATTTTTCTACAATTATAGGTAATTTTTTTTCTGGATTTTTTTTA